TAGGGTGTGTATGCTTGCCAGAGAGAGACAATGAGAGGGAAAATGAGAAATCACTTCCCGGGGGGATGGCCATGCTTCAATCCCTTCTTCTCCATTCTCCTCCTGGGGTTTTCGGCATGCATGCACACGTGCCCGGTGTGATTTCAAGCCACCAGGTCTGGGAATCAAATTGTGGTAGGCCCCCTGGAAGTCCAGCACCTTAATCACTACACTATCTGCTGGCCCCACGATGAATAATATTATCACCCTAATCACTATAAACTTCAGTATTAACTAAAGCCACCTCAATCATCTAGCTTCCTCCCGGCCGGGCCTATGCAAAAATGAACGTTAACATGTACTGAGCGTCGGGGCTGCACACACTGAATCCGCTCGTTCCATCTTCACAGCGTCTCTGAGTGACTGCTTCATTATTTTATAGGTGGGAGACAAAACTGAGGCACAGGACACTTAAGTACCCCAAATCACACGAATAGAAAATGCTAGGGCCCATTCAGTCACTAGACTAGGCTGCCATTCATGTTCAAGCATTTGTTGAAAACGCTATTGTCCTCTGTCGTGGAGTCAGTAGTGTGTTGGCGGCCAGCTGTCCTCTGAAGGACCGCCCGTCGGACTGCGTGTAAGGCGCTGCTGCCGCCCAGCCATGTTCCCTGGAGAGCGTGGGTTCCGTTTTGATGTCACTGAGTGGCCCAGACACTGGACATACACGACGTCACTTTCCAACTTGCCCCTGCCGTGCCCTCTCGAAGGTGCCCTTCCGGTGTCTGTGCCGTTGGGAGCTGGTCAGCTGCGGAGGACGGGCAGGGCTGGCCTTGGGCGTGAGCGCAGGCGAGTCGCCTTGGCTGTGACGAGAGTGGTGTGAGGCGTGGCCCTGCTGTTCACGTTACAGTCAGCCCAACCTCAGAGCCACGGGACAGGACAGTGGAGTCCCGTGTTCTCTCTGGACGGGTTTCCTCCTGGGACAAGACGACTCTTCGGCCCCTAGCTTAAGTCCCTCGTAGGCGTTTCGAAAACACATCCAGCACCTCCGAAATCCGAAATGCAAAACCCCACCACCTTGCTCCGCTCTCCATTGAGAGCAGCAGAGGAGGAAGGGGTGCGGGTGGGCTGCTGTCACAGGACTCGGAAGCCGAGGACCCGGCCGAGAAAGGGAGCGCTGTCCTGGCCGCACTTCCCCTTCACCGGCTGTGGTCACAGGGCTTGAGACCTTAGGGTTTCCCGGTGACTGGGGGTTTCCAAAGCCCGGAGCCGGTCCTTCCTGCTTGGCTGGACTCCCCGCTGTCGCACGGCTGGGTCTGTGCGACCGTGTCACCTTGGGGCTTCCCCTGTGCAGGCCGGGCCGAGGGCCTGGCAGGTGGACAGGGGTCGCGGGGCCGTCACCCGCAGGGCGCGGAAGGCAGACGGGAGACTGGCAGTGATTGACAGGCCGTGCCAAGGGCGGCGTCCGCCGCGATCCCGCCCCGGAACAGACGCTTCCTGGAAGCCGGCCGCGTGGACGCGCCAGGCGGTGCTCCCGCCCTCCTGGGTTTCGGGTTCCTCGGGGTCACGTGCGAGGCGCTCAGCCGGCGGGCAGGTCGCCACGGCCACCCCGTCCCGGCCTACAAGAGCCCGGCGCCCGCGCCCTCTGCCCTCTGCCC